TACAAAATTTCTGTTTTGTGACCGATTAGGTATCACTTTATAAAATATTTTGAGAATATGTACATATTTGATTTGTATGTATGAAACTTGTTTTTAATTCAAACTATTTATTTTATTTAAATAATAAATTCATAAACATTTTGTTGTTTACTTGCCTGAAGGAAATTGAAGTGAATATTTAAATGAACAAAATTTTTCATTATACAAGAAATCAATGAGACAAGCAAGACTCTAAAATTATGGACACCACAGACAAAACATAAAATTGAATAACGTATTCATGCAATGTTCTTCCCTGGCTCAGTAATGATTTTTTTTTAATATAATTTGGAAATGCTGTGATAAAGGGTTAAGCATTGGTTTCCTTTGAGACTGGTGGATGTAGGATGTAATGTATTGTTACCCAAACTTCATATGGTATTTAGAGTGAAATTGGAAGTTCATAAAGCACAAATAATCCCCTCAGCTCTGCATTGATCAAAGATAAGTCTTATGAGACAGTCTGGGTAGAAACAGGAAAATTAGTTCTCATTTAGACTTCATGTTTGTGTACTGGAGTTGGTGAATCGTGTTTTGAGTGACGAAGTGGCTGTTCATTGACTGTAGATTTACTAAAGTTTAAAGGTATGTTTAAAAAAATTATTGCTTTAGAAATAAATGGGTTTAATGTGAGGAACAAAATGGGGTTTTGATTAGTTTTGGGAGGGCTGACAAGGAAGATGGCTTTCAGTATATAAACTGCGAGCTGACTATGGAAGAAAGACAGTTCCGTTACTTAGCGCTGAATACTTGGTTGTTTGCTAGCACATTTACGAAGTACACGTGCTATTCCCTCTCTCTCGTTTAGACTTGTTTGTTTACTTTTATATCAGATTGTGTCCCGTTATAATGTGTACATGAACATGTAAATGTGAGAACTGAAACGTCATACAGTGGTAGGAGAAACAGTTTTAAATTTGAAGTAGTTAAGGGTAGTAGTTCTGTCAGGCACAAAATACAGGTTACTTTGCTTTTAACACTGCAGATTCTTGTACCCGTTTGTACGTTATTTTTTGTTGGTTAGTACTTGTCAGCATGTTAGAACTCCACAATGAAACATTTTATGAAAAAATATAAAAAAAACAAGTGTTGTGGGTGTTTCATGTTGATAGTTGAGGCCAATATTAAAATATTTCAGAGAAATTTTCATTTCTCTGCTATGCCGGTAGTGGACATTGTGGTTGAAAATAGAATCATTCTCTATCTTAAAATGAAATGACAGTAAAAGAAAGAGTGAGAGATGTTTTTTATTTTGCTTGAAAATGGAGATTACTTCCATCTACTTACCTGTTGATATTGTGTTTGCCACTTGAGCTGGATGTTCTCCAAGATTAGAATATTGTCATTGCTTTTGAAATTAATAATGATATACCATTTCTAGATTCAGCATTATATTATTGAGATTGGCACTTGCAAAATAGATTTTGCAGTGTGGCTCTGCCCAGTGAAGCTTCAGTGCTCGGAAGAGTTTGATTTCAATATTTATTCATATCAAATGCTTTGTCCATGAGTGCTCTTAGGACTTTTTTATGACTTTTTCAATATTATTTGTATGAAATGTTTATTCCATGTTTGAGTTTTAGTTAGACATTCTTTATAGGCAGCAGGTATGTTTACTTCCTCCCCAGAATATGTATGAATAAATGTAAGTTCTACAGCTAATAATATTATTTTCCCTTGAATTTTATAGTAAAGTCTGAATATTATATATAGCAAAGCTTTTAGGGTTTCAAATGTAGATAACAAGGGCTTTCAGCTTTTATCACTTTTATTCAGTGGTTAGTGGCATTTTACTTTGTGTTTCAAAGTGTAAGTTGTTACATTTTAAGATAAAATGTTCTGATGTCAGTGTTGGCTGTGTATAATGATATGAGAAAGAAGCAAGTGCAAGCAGTTTGTGCGATGACTTGGGTATACTTTACTAGAAGATATAGTAGATTAATAGGTGGACAAAACTATTTTTAAAATGTAATGACAGGTTTCATGAGATGCTGGAATTTTTTGCTTTTTATAGTTGTTCTTTCTAGCAGTGCAGCTTAACATTCCATGAAATGTAACAGTAATGTAATTTTATTCCAATGTCTTGCAAGAAAGTATTTATCAGCTACGTTTTACAAAGCCTGCCAGAGTGAGGTAGTGAAAATATCAACATACTGATATACATAATGCTTAAGTTCTTGTTTCTTAAAGATTTTAAGTAAAGGTAAGGTTTTCATAGCATGAATATCAACTACACTACCATTGATGTAATTACTCTGATTTTGTCACAGCTGCTAGAAATAGTTTGCTAATAACTAATAGTTTACAATTAATTGGTGTGTGTGATGCAGACTGATTTGTAATAACATTAAAATTGCACTAAACTGTTTTATTCTTAGAATTAAAAAACTGATCTTGTAGTCAGGACATGCTGTTGGTAACATTGCTTAGGTTTAAATGTTGCTGAAATGTTTTATTGTATTGTGTCAATCTGTGCAAGTTTTAAGTGCATTATTATATAAACATCTATCATATGGAATAAAAAGTAATGATAATATAATATTGCTTTTGCTGTAGTTCAGGAAGTCACATAAATAAATTAATATTCTCACATTGCCTTCCTCTAGTATGAAATTGTAGTGATGTGTTTCCTGGAATGTGATGGACATTTTAACAACTTGTTTTGTTTTTGACTTTTTTATTTTTGTTATGTAATTTTAACTTTTGATTGTTTTCCTTGAACAAAACAGTAAACTGCTGATAAGCATTTAATTTGTTTGAAATTCAGTCTCGTTTGTTTGAGACTGCAGCATTTTAAGTAATGCATGTGGCTTCAGACATTTTCATTTTTTAAAAGTGGAAGTCATTGTTTCAGATATGTTATAATATTTCAAGTGAGTGAATACTTACAAATAAACTAAGCTATATGTATTCTGTATTATGAATATATTTTAGAAAAAAATATATTCTGAATTGTCTAAGTCTATATGAACATTTTGATTTCTCTATCATTGGCCTATAAGTGTGGCTTGTATTTCAGAAAATAATAATTATATTTGCTGAACTGCACTCATATATATTTTTTCCCTTCAAGGCAGTTTTGTACACTGTAATATACTTTCACATGATTTTGCCTCTGAACACATTTATTATTGAAACAATCACCTTAGGTAATATGTAATTTATAATTTAATTGGCCCCAATATTGTGACTTATTGCTGGAAATTACTTGATACTGCATATCTTGATAGCAATGTGTTGTCAGTAATGCATAAGAAGAAATTTAATTTTTATTCCTTCAGTAAACTTCAACAGATGTTGAAGCTCAGTGTTTAGGAAATTAAAATATTTAACTGGCAGTTTCCTGTTATGTGTATCCTCTCTTACAGAATTGTTCCAAAATGCCCCAATATAAAATGTGTTCACCTCTTAATTTTGATGTGTTTTTTATTTGACTTTTAGTGGGTGGATGCGAATGCAGAGGAGGTAATTGGAGCTTATCGGCTGGCCAAGCCTCTTACCTTCCATACATAATCTAAGTGTCCTTTTTATTTTTTATAATTATATTGTGTTACTGCTTTAGGAATTGGTGATGGGTATTATTTGCATGTGCCTTCATCTGCATGTTACATTCTCTTGTTTTGCAAAGCTTTTCAGTCTAAAAAGTCTTGATTCCTTCTTCTTAAAATTTGTTGCTTCGTTAAAGGCAAACAAGCACTCTGCATTTCTGATTCTCAGAAGTGTTTATTATCTTCTATGGAAGTGGCTTGAATCAAGTAAAGCAAAAAGTAAAACTGTTCATTCTGCTTGTAATGTAAAACTAATTGCCGAAACACTAGTAATCTTGTAGGCAATTATCAGTGTTTTGGAGGACTATGCAATGTCACAGGCCAAATGATTATAGTCAGCAGTCTTCTGCTATATATTCTGAATTTCAGGTACAAATGTTTGCTTGAATATCAGTATGCTATCTGGAATTTTTAGAATTGCTTTGTATTTGCCACAATTTCTGTGCTATTTTTCACAGTTTTATATATAAAGTGATTTTTTGTTCACAGGGTAACAGGTATCCCCTTCAAAAATTGGGGATATTACAGAATTTTGTTACATGTCTCCAAGTTGTTTTCTTTTCTGGAAAGCTTCACGTATAATTTGGATATATTTACCCTGTTCTCTTGTTTCATTTTCTAATGGCTTCTTACCATACTTGTGTGGCTATTGTTTTGTGACATTGTGTGTAAAGCATGCAAATCAATCTTTCCCTGAAGATTGCTTACTGAAATTGCAATGTAATGTAACTGAAATTTATGTTCACAAGTTTTACTGTTGCATTGCCATGCTTCTTAGATCAGTACACTAAGATGGCTATATCTTTTAAGAGTATCCAGTTGTGGTTGTCATGTTAATGTTAAAAAAGAATCTTGTGTTTTATTACAGTGAACATGTAATTGTACGATATTTAATCAAAAACATTTAAAAATATAATGCATAGCAGGATTCTTTGATATTTGCTTTTATGCTACATGGATTGATAAACTGTGGTCAGAGGTGTTTGAAGGATAAATAATGAAATTAGTTTAAGTGGTCCAGATTCTGTAAAATGTGTTGTAAAGTTTTTTCTTTCATTCTGTTTCTGTTCTGTTGAAAGTAAAAGTTTCTCATGCATAGACCACTAGCATGAGTTGGGTATAATTATTATGGGTTTTTTTGTACAGTGTTATAGTACGCATAAAGAGAATTTCAAAGTAAAATATTTTTCATAGTGATTACTATAAGTTGAATCAGAATTATAATTGCTTAATGTAGAATCTCATCAAACATGATGCAACACTCTCTAAAACAGTGTTCTTATCAGTGCAATACTTCATTTACCATATTTAGTGTATACTTAAGTATGCTAACCCTGGGCTCTTTGACAACTGAATGGACCACTTGATACTGTCTTCATCATAACTCCTCTGTTGCATGAATTCCTGGGTTTAGGTTACATATCTTTATTTCTGTGGGATGCTTCATGTATAGACATACGTTACGTAAGTTCACTAATATTTAAGATCCTTTACCACTTAAACATTAAGAAAGTTATTGCTCATACACATGTCAGTATGTTCAGAAAGATTACTGTTGTAGCTGGTTATGTTTATCGAGTGCTGGGAACTTTATGATGGGTCCAGTTTGGCACTTTTATAAATATGATGTCAAGTTGTTCATTGATCCACATTTTCACATTAGTGTTCACAAATAACCGGAACATCCATGTGTCTTTGAAATTATCCAGGTACCAAGAAACAGTCTTTGCATTCTTCAAGATCTATTATTTCAGCTATTGAATTAGTAGCTTATCTTTGAAGATTTCTGTCTTCTGGGTTGTTGCGCTGTGTAGTCTGGTCGATATTAACCAACTTTTCAGAGGTCATACTGCCTCCGTTATCAGGGTGATGACATATTCATCGCCCTGATGACGGAGGAAACAACCCAGAAGACAGAAATCTTCATACTCCCCGCTTTGAAAACCTCGAATCTTACATAGGTTATCTTTAATAAAGCATGGATCTAGACCATTAGAAGTTTATTTATCTGATGGAAATAAACTCCAGACTCTCATTGACACCAAATAGAGGTTGTTTTGTAAAAGATAAGAGATGCATACTCTGGGTTGTACACACAGGCAAATGACAAGATAAAATAACATTGAGTTTGAAGTTGTCTATGTTTATTTGGTCTGTGTACCCATGAGTGTTCTGGTACTCTGTTCTGCATATTGAAATGTGTATGCTGTGCAAGAATAATGTACGTGAAATTATAGTTAGTCTTGGTTTTCTATAGTTTGGAAATAATTCAGAAGCACAAAAAATATAATTGTCTTAAATCTTTTGAATATCGAGGCTTCTAAAAACTTTAATCTCTATATTTAAATCTATGTATGCATTCCAAATGATTTTACATACTGTGCCTGTTTTCTCCTATCCATATAGATATTTCTAATATAATTTTTAAACAAGATTTCCTGGTTATCATGCCGTTGCCACGACAAAACCAGAACATGTGGGACCGTAAACAGAGAATAATTAATATTGTAAATTTATAAATTGGGAATGACATTTGAGATGAAAACAGGCACATGGCTTTTGTTGTCAAAGGAAGTAATGTGGTGGATTCTAGTTTGTAAATTTATGGTCCCTGATGCACTGGTTTTGTCTGTGCAGTGGGTAGCGGATGGCTCTCCAACACACAGTAGTACTCCAGTGAGGATTGAAAGTGCGCTGCAGTTTGTACCCAAGAACACTGATCCTCGAGAATTCAAGAAGCTTCAACAGCAGGTAAAGAACATTTTATGTAAAGTTTTCTTAGCACATACTTTGACATTAAAATAATAAAAACATTTTTACCTGTTGTTTTATAATAAAGTCATTCATTCCATTAAGCAGAGTCCTTGTTCAGAAACTGATAGTAGATTCAGTTAGCCAAATTCCCTACCTTTTATGGAACATGAAGACTCATTGCTGTGTTCATAAGAGGTTTCCATCAACTGTGTTTTGTTCCAGGTGAATCTAGTCCATATTCTCCCTCCTTATTTCTGATATTTACCTTTCCACTCCAAGGTTTTTGAGTCATCTCTTCCCTTCAGGGTTTCTAACCAAAGTTTTGTATGCATTTGAACCTCCACAATGTGAACCATATCCCCCCTCCCCAGTCTCATCCTCCCAGAATTATTACTGATGCATAAATTCTGTGTAAGTAAAGTGATTGACATGAATGAAGACAGGTGGCACAAAGAGCGAGAGAGAGTAATGGTGTTTGCTTCAGTACTTTAAACTAACTCCCTGAAGCTGATTGGCTCACAAGGGTATGTGACAGTAAATGCACAGAAACTTCCAAAATTTAGCCGCCATCATTCTTGTTGATCACTTTAGTCGTAACATTAAAAAATTTCATTTCGTCTTGCGGGACTGCAGTTCTTATTAATTCTTTAATTTTGCAGATTAAGGATAATAGACGTGCAGACAAAATAACATCAGGTCCACAGTCACACATCTTGGAAGGCGTGTCTTGGGAAGAAGCCAAGAAATTGCAGGTGATAACTTTATTCTCAGTACAAATGGGTTGTTCTTTTATTATCAGTTCGCATGGTTCTGAATGGGCAGGATTTAAACATTGTCACAGTAATCACCTGATCCTGATTGTGGCAGTTGTCGAGTGCTGTCCTTTTTCTAGTTTCCGTATTGAGGGTTGTGGTGTTAAACATTGATCGATTGATTAAAAGTCGATCATAAAGAACTTTGTGTCATTGTCACTTAATACAGGAGACTTTGCTTGGAATGGTGGAGTACTATTTTTCATGTGTTTGGTATTACAGTATGTAATGTAAACCATATTCTGGTTATTTTTAATCCTACATAGGATGCAAACATCTCAGCAACAGGGGACCAGGTGGTCCTAGTGGGAGCTGCATCCAAAGGAATCATTCAGCGAGGATTCCAGCACAATGCCATGGTCTACAAGACACCATATGCCAAAAATCCATTTGATACAATCACGGATGAAGAACTGGAGGAATACAAGAAGGTTGTAGAGAGGAAACAAAAAGGAGAGTCGTGTAAGTACTGCTGGATTTCATGATCACATCCATAAAAAATTAATTGTACACAAATATTTGCTAAGTATTTAGTCTTCTTAATCTTCTTCATGAGATGATTTGTGCAAGTGTAGTTTATGGCTGTTCAGCGAGATGATAAGGTAGAAGTAGTCATCAGCTAGTGTTAAGGTATTAGGAAACTTTTAGAAGATACTGGAACAAAAGGCGGTGGTTTCTTTTACAGTCTGCTTGTGTTTTTCGTGGTCATTCTCATTGATTTTATTTTTAACTGCTGTACTTTTATTAGATTTTATCCATTGGATTTTATTATGTCATGCAATGCATAGTCTAAACTTTGGGTGTATATTTTGTGTGGTACACACAAAAGAGAGAGTGTCATGTACCAAATGAGGTATGCGGAAGACAGAAAGTGTGTGAACTGCACCATTTTATATACATCATCAATATCCACATTTCTGATTAGTACCATTTTGAATATGAAAGTATGCAGTGAAATAGCTTTAACTGTTTTTCATTGGTAAAAGATAATGGTTGAAGTAAAATCATACAAATTTTGTTATCCCTTTGAGTTAAGTGTAGCTTATAAATAATTAGTTCAAGGTAGAGTATGTATGTCTGTATTGGCAAGTAGCTAGTTTAAAAGAAAACCGTGTGTTGCCCACAGTTGATGAGGACCAGTCTGAATCAGAACCTCTCTCGTCGTCACTTCAGAATAGCCGGCCGACCAATGATGGGAATCTCGGCCCCATAAAGTCTCCCCTTACATCACCTATGTCTGCAGCCAGTGAAACAGAAGAAGAGAGCAGAGATGGTATGATGATCTGTGATTTTGGTGGTTGGCAAGATGGTTGCCTAACTGATGGCTGTTGGTCAATAGCCTTTATTATACAGGAAAAGGGGATTTAAATTGCCATATTACAGGTCTCCTACCCAGACTTATGCTAATTTGATACATGGCCAGCTGGACCATGTGTAAGATGCATCACATGAATGATAAAGGTTAATTGCTGGCTGAAGTTTTATTTGCTGTAATAGTGTTTCAAAGGAGTTTTTAAAAATGCAAATTATATTGGTTTCAAATTAACATCTTTTTAAAATGTTACTTGTTTCAAAATTAAAATTGAATTTTGTCAGTAAGAGAATTCTGAGTTGCAGACAAATTCAGTGTATGTTATTCCCTTAATATGAACGCTAGTATTTCATTAATATTGGCCTTATAAATCTGCTTTCATTGCTTTCCAGAGCCACGAGTGTTGCGGATAGAGACAAAGCAGGCGCCACGACCTAGCCAGGCTGAAGTTGTCCTTAGTGATGGTTAGTAGTTCTACTCTGGTGGCATGACTGGAACGTATCAGTAATCATAGCATTATTATTTATCCAGGAACTGTTATTGCTAGGTTGTTATGCAATGTGATATAATATTTACCTTCCAGTGTTCTCAGGGCTACATCTGGTTAGTGTTTTAATGGTAAGTAAATTGATCCCACTGTAAGTTATTTTGTTAAAAGCATGGATACTTTGGTTATGACATTTTACTTAGTTGTGATATTGCATTTAATAAGTGGATCATATGCATGGTACAAGCATTTGCTAGTGAAAAGAGAAGTTTGACCAAGTTAACAATTAGTTCACACATAAAATTATCCAAGTGGCTGTCATAACTTGTTCTACTTGTTCCACTCCTATGAGCAAGAAGTTACAGATTTCAGATTTCTCTTCACTTTGCCATCAAGTTTTGTTTGGTCTGAATTGCAATCACCAGATACATATATTATTATTATTATTATTATTCAGTGTTCTGTCTGACGACAGGTCCATTGCTCTGCCCAAAAAGAGCTCTCCAGTTTACCCTATTCTCAGCCTGAAATTTCATCTTCTTTCCTTGTTTCAGATCGTCGGGTATATATAAAGTAACTATCAATTATGTTGAATTCCAGTGTCTTAGATTCATGAGATTGTTTTATTTTATAGAATTCATGGCAGTGAACTTCCCTTAAAAATTAAAGCATAATACATCATAGTGTGGTTCACTAGAAAATGCACTTAATTTTTTTTAAATATCCCAAAATTAACTAGGGGAATACATGTGCTGATTTCTGAGTCTTGAGTTTTGACCATATCTGGTACTTGTACAGACCATTACAGAAAGATAAGCATGAGAAAGCATGATGAATTTGCAAGTTAATTTGTCAGTTTGTATGTTGTCATTTGTGTCTGTTTCAAAGCTGAGTCTGATTTTCCTGACCCAAACGTAGAGCGTTCCTTGTCTCTCCGCTACACACCTAAAGGTGAGTTTCAGTATGCTCTTAACATTTATGGGGTTCTTGGTAGTATTTTTGGCAAGAGTTACGTGTTTTGGATGAACTGAATTGGCACCTGCAGAATCACAAACAAAAGAATGCGTGGACAATAAAATTCTTACGGAAAGACCCCTGTTTGAGACGGGGAAGAAGGGTGGGACATAGCCCGGTCTCTCCTATCCTCATCCTTGGCTCTGATTGGCCAGTTCCCATGACTTGATTCTGATATTTCTCACATCAGCCCTTATGATAAAGGCACTGTGGTCCTCCCAAAATGTCGGCAACAAGCCTACTTCTACATTGTGCCAGCACCCAAAAGCACAATCAACATTACATACTTGTTTGCACATTAACTGGTTCAAGAACTGTAATGTTCCATATACAGTACAAGTACACTCTTCTCTAT